ATACAGCTGCACTACTTTAACATTCCTTTCCAATTTATCCTTTTCTCATTCATCCTTCCTCTCACCCCATCCTACTCACCTGAACTGTGAGCCTTCCTCTGTCCCTCCCCATACAGCTGCACTACTTTAACATTCCTTTCCAATTTATNCCTTCCTCTCACCCCATCCTACTCACCTGAACTGTGAGCCTTCCTCTGTCCCTCCCCATACAGCTGCACTACTTTAACATTCCTTTCCAATTTATTCTTTTCTCATTCATCCTTCCTCTCCCCCCATCCTACTCACCTGAGCTGTGAGCCTTCCTCTGTCCCTCCCCATACAGCTGCACTACTTTAACATYCCTTTCCAATTGATCCCTTTCTCATTCATCCTTCCTCTCACCCCATCCTACTCACCTGAGCTGTGAGCCTTCCTCGCCCCTTCTTCATACAGCTGCCCTACTTGAGTATCGATCGCCGTCACATCTTCAACAATCCGCTTCATCACGGCTCGCACATTACGTGGTTCAATAGTATTGATCCAGTCCCGTGTCTCTACACTCTTTCTAATCATCTGCAAGTAACAACGAAGAGTAAACCAATGGCAGACTGACCTTTTTCAGGGGGGTGGTTGTTACCTAGAAAGGCATCACATCYTTTTTATTATTATTATTATCATTATTATTCTTATTCTTATTACTATCATTATTTAAACTTTTAAAATTAATGGAATACTTATCACGCATTAATGAAATGAATTGTTCCAAATCCAAATGACATAAAATTAAATTGCAAAAAATATTTTTGAGTTTTTACCTTTTGAATAGCCATTAATAATCTTAATGTGTAGCAAAAACATGTCGAACTTCTAAAACTTGTTTTCCTCTTCTAAATGCCTAATTTTGAGTGTTTTTTAAATTTTGGAAAATAAGGAACCGTATATAGATGGAATGGACTGGACTTCGGTTGGCTGGATCRTACGGATCGTTGACTTTTTTCTACGCCRAATTTGCAGCTTTTATCCTATGATTTTTATTTATTTTATTATTCATAACTAGTGATTCTATTTCGAAATTTTGAAAGAAAAAAGAAAAAAAAATTCTTTTAATGTTTTGGATTGTGGCACTGGTTGAAGTCCTGTGAAGCCGGTCATTGGCGAAGATTTTTCATGGACTGTATACAGCATGTATCTATAGGTGACTCTATGGATYGTAACAGGTTTTTACGACTAATTGTTACAGGTTTTTAATCCAAATGACATGTTATTTTATTATTACTCATATCGTATGAGTTCYGTGGAAACAAAAATAGGTAACCGTATTATAGCCGTATCGTAACGCATCTTAACGTAACGTAACTACGCGTCGTGATTGATTGAATTTCTGGAAGACAATGGGAAACCATTTCAATGTTACGGCATGTCGTACCGTCAGTTTTCGTGCTGAACTCGGTGTCCTTCGTGAGTACAGTTGTCTGTTTGTTCTCTCTTGTGCTTCGAGGTAGTTTTTTTTTTCTTTTTCTTCTTGATTTTCTTCCCTCCACAAAAACCAACTTCTAAATTCTAATTCGATCTATTGGTAGCCTTATCAAGTGGGTTGGAAGACTCGTTAGGCTTCTCGTCCACCATGGAGTGGCAAATCCAATTAGTGTGTACCGCATATATCCCAAYGAAAACCAAACTACGTACCTGGGATATGACTAATCCTTGGATCTTCACATAATGATTTAGTAAATCCTAAAGAAATGTATTAGTAAAAAAATAATTTACAGACCGTTCCTGCTTGGGCGTAATGTTTTCCAATTTCACATCAAGTATCATTCCCTTAGACCTAAGATCCTTTGAGTGTCATCCATATTTGAGTATTTTCTCAATCAGTACCRGTAAACAAAGAAATAATATTCAAGAGAATGACACCTAGATTGAACTAGGAAAACATTAGGCCTAAGTTGAATTGGTCTGTTGATGGAACAAATAATAGTAGGTAGGCGAGCATGATTTTATTTGCTTTGCCGCCGCAAAGTCAGTGAGACGGTTGTGAASCAATACAGCGAGTAGCCAATTGCTGACCATAATTCTGGACTCTTTCTATATATATGTTAAAAACAACATGCTACAGATGTATTTTATTTGACGGCGAAGGAGAGCGCACTGAAAGATCGCACAAGTTGTTTCATTTTGAAGACTTTGTTGGATCAATTCAATACTTTTTTAGGGTGGCGCAAAGCATAAGTGTTATGGGGAAATGATTTGGGTTACCTGTGCTATTGATCTGGCTTCAGACACAAGCTCTGAGACTGGTGTCCGCACGCATCCCCGACGAAGCTCTTCGTCTACTGGAAACTGTTCATCCGTCAGACTTAGCTAAAAGTGTAACGGGAAAGAAGGAATGAATGGAACCACTATCAATCTTTCTAAGTACCATCATCAATCTCTTTCATCATCATCATCATCAGTTCTCATAAGCCCCATCATAATCATCATCATCAACAACATCAATAATAATAATAATAATAATAATAATAATAATAATAATAATGGGAGTTTCCCATATAGCGCATTTTAAATATCTCAATGCACTTTACATTTATGAACAGTGGAGGACTTTACGGGCTGCATATTAAGGCGCTACTAGCAGCCGTGCAGCTTACAATCATGAGTGTGAATTGTTAGTAGATTAGTATTRTGCCTTCAAATTGGGATAGGCTGTTGAACCGAGAGACAATCCCCTATTATGACCAACATCAATCAACATCTATGTCACCAACTATCGTCATCACCACCAATAACGAGCAGCAATCAATACCCTCATCATTACCATCAGCATCGATCAACACCATTATCATCATTATCGACAAAAACTTTGATTATCATCACTATCAACACTATCACTCCACTTCACCACCATCAACATCGATCATTAACATTAGCGTTATCATATTCTGGAGTATKTGTATTATGAAGCACAAAGATCAAACTCTAAGGTAGACAGTGAATTTGAAGGGGACAGACAGCTATTTATAACCAGAGATCAATTAAGATCACTCACCACATAAGTGATGGTGGACTCATGGAAATCAGTACAGAGTCTTGACAAAAGGAGAACCAATGCTGGAGGAGGTGAACTCACTTTGTTGCAAAAGTCCTTCAGATGGAAATACCAAATATCATCAGTGGATGAATTGCTTCTACACGGACTAAGTTGGGTCCCTAACTGCTCTTAGTATTCTTTCTCTGCCTCTACCACCCCCCCTCCCCCACCTTCACCATCCCCCCAAGTCCCCCCTTCTCCCAAGGACGCCCAAGCCCCCCATTCCCCCATAACCCCCAAGCCCCCCATCTCCCAGGCACCCCCAATTTAGTATTTACTCTAACTTTACCTTGGCAGTTTCTAGCACGTGTTTCAAGAAATCTACTACCAAACCYTCTCGTACATCGTCAGCACAGAACGGACCACGAAAATACGGCTTGACGGAAAAAGTGATATCAGGACCTATAAATGCCTGCAGATAAGAGATATTCAAGAGTTATTCTATCTCATACCATACTCTCTAAGAGGTGCAATTCAGAAAAGATCGTTAAACGATGCAAAAGAAAAAATCAGAGAATTTACCTTGAGATAGTTGAGTACAGTCTTGATTTGATCCAGGATTGCGTTACTGGTTTGTGTAAGAAGATCGGAGAGTGCGTGACTTTTATCTTTGCCTGTCTGTCGGGGTAACGCAGCTAACGCTTGACGAGTGTCTGTCAGACAAACTACAAAGACGAAAGAAAATTAATTTTGTAGGTACGTTAAAAKTTCCACCCGTAGGTAGAGCGATTTTTTTTGACGATAATTTTAAATACCTGCAAATTGCTGTCGTAGGCTTTGAGTGTAAAATATTACTCGGTTGTGTGCAGCCCGTGCAATGATGTTTGCTCCCGACCTTGATAAACAAAAGGAGATATGACATTATAACGACTGAGCAGCATTCAGTCGACTGAGAAGAAGAAACGCTCTGCCAAGAAGGGGTGGAGAAAGCGCCAAGCAAAAAAGCTTACTTTTTACAGCAAGAAACTGAGGCTCGGCAAGAGAGCTTGGATACCACCACTCTTTCTGGATGGGATACTAGAGCATCACAACTCTCCTATGACTTAAGCATTTCATCAGGTTACGACCAGACCCCCCCCCCCCCTCCCACAAAAAGGGACGAATTAGGAAATGAGACAAGTCCTGTCCCACCCCTCCCTGGTGAATATACTGACCTGCCAGAACCAATATCTGGAAGAAGCTTATGAACCGCCTGAAGACGACGATGAAACCGATCTAGTGCGCGCACCAGGAGRACGTTATTACCAGTATCGGTCTGTGAAACAACATAYATACACATATAACCCTCTTGACTCTAGAATTACTGGGTCCRGGTTGTSSTAGAAGGATCAGAGGACCCAAAGAWAATACACCTATTTAAGCGTAATGTTTTCACATTTCAAACCTTTTGGGAATTTTAAGATTCCATTTCAACCATATTAATGARTCTTTTAAGATTAATATTTTTAGCGGTAACAAAAACATAATACGCAAGAGAATGAAACATGATGGTCTGAATTTTGAAACATTACGCAGAAAGTTGACTTTAAATTCCACTTYGATCTCTTGTCGAATGCTCAAGCTATTGCCATAAAATAAAAATCTTATGCTTCGTTTTGTATGGTGCGTTATCTATACTTTTTACACACCTCGAGTTCAATTCTTGCTTCTGTGATTTTGAAGTACTGGCCCATCAACGTCTGCATGAAACTGGACAGCTTCTTAGATACCACTCGTTCTAACTCTTCTGGATCTGTCACATGACTAGCAAATAACAAAGAAAGAAAACAAAATGAGAGATGGTCAACTAGCTCCACGAAAGAAGCTAAATAACGGCTAGATTTACGATGTACTGTAAATTGGGGACTTGACAGACTGCTTACAATATCTTGTCATGAGTAATACATTGTTTTTTTAACCAAGAACTCTGGAAACATAGGAGAAAGAACTTCCAACCCACATGTTTTGTGCCATATCTAGTAACTTACTCTCCAATTTGTCTTTCTACAAACTGCTCCTTATAAGAAGCGATTACCAAGCACACAGTGCTTAGGAAGCCATTGCACCCACAGTCAATGAACTCCAGAAAATCCTGAAAAAAAGAAAAGACTTGATTAAGCTTGGTTATCATTTTCAACTYGAAGCAATTATAAGCATAAGCACCCTATAAAGACTCATAATCAAGTTGTGTGTCACACATTTGACAGCGAGTATCTTTTCTCAGACATGCTAGAGAAGAGAAACAAGAAGCTGGTGCTTAAATCTATACTGTAGTGATCGATCATCGATCGTATCCGCCATCATGATAAAATAAGAGTCGTTTTTTCAGCAACAAACAGAACATCAAAGACCAAAGACAGAAATTGCTTCTGTTGCTTACCATTGGTCTTTGATGTTTGGATTCTTCCTGTGTACTATCACATTCTGATGCTGCATGAGAGAGAAAAAGATTTCTTGATTACAACGTGAAAAGAAAACCAAAGACTAATGATGTGTTAGGTAAAGTATTCGCAAAACAGGAGCTTACTTTTAAGATTTTCATTTTGTTTTGTCAAGTTTTACAGCTTTTAAGTATATATATTTAAGGTCATTGACATTTTTGGCTGTTCTTGTGACGGCCATCATCAGGAGCTTATCTTCTGTATCTCCACAAAGTGAATAGGAATCCCTTCCTCCCCCCCTCTCTATGGRTCCCCCACTTCTTCCCTCTTTTCCTACTAGTCTCTTATATTTTCCAATCTTAGCCTCCCCCCCACGTTTTCCCATACTAGTCTCAATCTTAACCCCCCCAGTTTTTAGGTCGCTCTTTTGCCCCTGCTGTTAAGTGGTGAACATAATTTTATGTATTAAGTTGTACCCTCAACAGGCTGTAATTCTTGCTTTTTAAATTCAACTTGAGCTTCAAGGAYTCTTATATTTTCATCCAATCTTTCCCTTGCTCTACGAGACAATGTAAAATCATAAATTAAGTTTAATAGACYTGTTAAGTTTGGGCATGATGTTCTCCCATTTCAAACCATGTGTCATTCCCTTTAGTATTATTTCTTTGTTTAATGGTTGCACATGAAAAAACACATGAATATAAACACAAATCAAACAAAGAATCTTATTCCCAAGAGAATGACACGTGATCTGAAATGGAAAAACGTTWTACCCAAGCTAAAGAGATGAGAGATTCAGTTCCCCACATTTCCAAGAAAATCCTAGCCAAAAATGAGGTTGACAAGCACCTATTGAATCTCTTAAGATCTGCCCCAATAGAGGTAGATAGTTTTCCACAACAATTTCCAGACTACTTTYAATTACTATTTACTTACTGGGTAATGAATTCATCACACAGTTCGTCTGCTGGCTCATGAAGTTGTAGCAACAAGTCCACACACTCTGCTAACTGCTTGGGAGTTGACTTGAAAGAAATGATTAAAAAWAACAAGTAAATTCTCTCTATCCAGTGTACTCACKATATGACAATCAAAGTCACTTAAAWCAGGAAAAGCTATTCATAGTATTTTTCCAAAACAGATCTATAAATTGAGTGGAATTTTGTATGCATGCCTGCAACAAAGAAATGACAGACCTTATAGATCGCCTAGTCAGACACACTTCTATACACTCAGACATACCATATATTATGGCATATGCCATGTCTGTGTAGATAATTGTTATGCATGCCTGTAGCAAAGGAATGACAGATCTTATAGATCGCCTAGTCAGACACACTTCTATACACTCAGACATACCATAAATTATGGCATATGCCATGTCTGTGTAGATAATTGTTATGCATGCCTGTAGCAAAGGAATGACAGATCTTATAGATTGCCTAGACAGACACACTTCTATACAGACATGCCATATATTATGGCATATGACATGTTTGTGTAATTATTCCTCGATTATACTGCACGTACAGTACATGTATTTAAATTTCCTCATATGGAATCTACTGCGAGTAAAAAGGGAGGTCAGTTCAGTTACTCTCATACCTTAGGATTTCTCAGTTGCTCTCTTAGTCTTGTTATGAGTTCTTTGACTATTTCATCACAATCTTGATGGATSCCTTGAAATGATGGCATATGACTGTATTGGTGTAAGACATCYCTGGCTTTTGTGTAATACCTGTATTGATTTTATTTCCATGCCAAAATATTAGAAAAATCTGCACTTTTACTATAAATTATACTAAGACCAGGGTCCTAGGGGTRCCCTGAGGGGAGGGTCCCAGGAGTGAAGTCAGTAGAGGGATCCTAGGCATGCCCTGAGAAGATGGTCCCTGGGGGAACGTCCAAGGGTTGTACTGAGTAGAAGTTCCTAGTACTTTGTGAATTAAGTGGGGTCCAAGTGGTGAGCAAAGCGAGGGTTTCTATAAGTGTCCCTGGGGTAAACTGAGTAAAGGGTCCCTATGGGGAACAACCCAAGCATATAGTGAGTAAAGCGTCCAAGAGGACCTTTGAAAGCGTTCCAGGAGTGAAGGGTTCCAGGGGTACGCTCACAGGAGGGTCTTACAGGTGTAYAGTACCTGGGGAATGGCCTGTGGGCAATATGAGGGAAAGGAAATGCCATGATAGCATTCTACCAACAAATTCCAACTAGATTGTATCCCTTAGCAAATGACTAGAGGATTACCTGACAGCCAGTCCATATTGTTTCATTTCTACACATTTCTTTAATCTGGATGGTAATTCAAACAGAAACTGAAGCTGAAATAAAATCAAATACTAGACATTAATAAATGATCCAAACCTTGGATTATMGACTAAAGTGAAGACAGTTTCCAGAACAGACATAACAGATGCAGGACTGTGAGTTCCACACTACACTATAAGTTCAGTACCTTAGTTAGTAATGTATGGACACCAGATAATTTTGTAATTTGTTGCCGTTTGTCTTGTAAGGTGCTGCTTATCTTCTCACTGAAGTCTGTGATGGCAGACATGTTYTTTTCAAGCTCAGTCATCTCTTCTTCCATTTTCTTGAAATCATGTTTCATCTTTAAGATAATATGAAAAAATATTCATTAGAAATCCATTATTTATTTAATTCCATCCAACCTGCAGCAGTGAAATAGGGAGAGTCGCATTAGACTTTCAGAGGTAGAGSGAAGAAACTGAGTCAACTTGAATTGGCATTTAATGCAGTGCATTACATGTGGGACTTTTTTATTGGACGAATTAGAAGCCATCTTTGAAATATCTCCCCTAAAACAGTCCTATGATGCACTAAAATGCCAATTCAAACAGGTTTTTTACTCTACCTCAGAATAGCTAATAGAGCAAGGGGGAGCAAGCATGTTTTTTTTGTTATCATATTTTGCTATCATTAAAATACTCAACAAAACTTGTTASAGGTAGGAACTTCACATGTATAACCCATGGAGAGAACCTGGTACATCTAATCCCAGCAAGGCTCATCTGCATAAGACTCCATACCACCCTACTTCCCAGATCTGATACCAATTTTATAACGACCAAATTAGTCCCTTCCATGATCTGCTTTATCATTATCATCATTCACCTATTTTCATGTCCCCCCCTGATGGCAATCCCTACACCATTCAAGTAATAGTTTCCAAAGATGCTGAAAGKATATTTGCAGTGTTGATACTCTAGCTAAAAATATATCTGTTATCCTTGCCTTTCTTATGGTATCTGTCGCACTGATGAACTTATTATAGTTTTCGTAGACCAATGTCTGCATATCGCTGTCTAAAGCCTTGATCTCTAAAGTGAATGACAAAATGAGTTATTGAGTTTAATATAAGTCTTCCATCAGTGATAAAATAAAAAATTGATAATAATACCTAATTAAGTTTGGTACGGTTCAATTTTAGTCGATTTGGTTTGATTTAAGAATGGTTTGATTATTGAACATTCAATTGGGTTGGATTAACCCTTTAAAGGCTAAAAGGATCCAACACAGGCTCTTCCTGGAACATATAATTAGGGTGTTTTTTATTTCTCAATATCAAAATGAAAAACATATGACCAGTAGATATTGAGGCCTTATAACACACATCCAACACAATCCAAATTAATTGAACAATTGGAATTTGATTGGGTTGGATTACTAAACCACCCATTTTTTAGTTCTTAGGTTACAACGATTAAAGATGGATCCTTACGCTTGGATATGTCCCCTTCTTTATCCATAAGCTCAGTAAGTGTTTTTTCTTTGAATGTCTTGTCTAAGTATGTCTCAGGTTGGAAGTGAGCCCCATTGATGTCGCATGGGTCAATGGATGTGGGTTTCCCTGTCTCTTCGCCGACTCCATAGTACATCTTAAGAAGGCCACGCCTTTGCCGATGYCTATTACGAGCTGGATCATCATGATTTTCATCTGTATAAGAGATGATAAATTTGATTCATTTAGAACGTCAGCACTAGCACTTTTGAAGCAATTATTAGTGGTATATTGATTTCAAAGTTAGACACTACACAAGAAAAAGAAAGGTCAAAATTTGACCTTTAATGCTGTATATACAGGGCAGCAAAGGGTTATCTGCACGCCCAGGGGGGGGGGGGGGTACTCCCCTATATGAACTATACGGGGATGATCCGCTGAACAGGGTATGGTTTTTCGAGCTTCTTGTCATAAACAGGGTATGCAATTTCACTCAAGGTCCAAATTCTTCCTGAGTTTCTTGTCATATTCAGGATTTCTACTTTCGTATTGACTGAAACTGGTTACCATGGTCGAAAAAAAAATTATATGTGAGATGACATGATAATTGAAACAGGAACTCAGTGCAATTAATTATATCTTTTGTCATAAACAGGGTACCCCTTTCAGAATCCCAGCGGAACACCCCTACCCAAATTTTGGCGGAGTACCCCCCCGGGTCTGCACGGCTGGTGATAGCATCTAAATGTGGTGCATGATTCAAGATTATATTCCCAAATTAGCTGCATGATTGCATATTGCTACATTATATGTCATGCATGATAGTTCAAAAACGTTCTCCATGATGTGTGATTTCATTTAAAAACCCAGAGTGTAAACTGTGATGGGAAAGAAGAGATCAGAAAATAAATTGTCTGCATTACGAGAGTGTTGCAAGACATTCTAAAACAGTCTACTTTCTTGAATCAATATGCTTTTCCTGTTAGGTATTTTTATTTTCTCGAACGAGTTTTGGCAATAATATTCCTCTCTTCCGGCCGGCTGTATTAAATATTTGAGTCATCATGGTAAAATTAAATAAAACGAGATGGAGTAGGATGAGCTAAAATTGCAAAGAAATACATGTTACATAGATAATTATACGCATCAATAGATGTATARGGCATTGCCCAAATTTAGTATAAACGATCATAAGATCAGCTGTTAATAACATTCTAGAATAATAGGCGAAATCTCTTCCATATCTTGATCGCAGAACRAAAACAGAGAAATATATAAAGCAGAAAGATTCATTAAATATGTTGGAACATTGCCAAATCAATACGAAACTACTAAAGAGCTTTGGACGAGAAATAAACTGGATCAAAAGTTYAAAAGAATAAAAAACACCAACTCACCGTCCGCCATCTTGGATCCGACCTGGTTACACGTCAGAGCATGCGCAGTTTATACTCGGTCAAATTTGTTTTTGGGAGGAAAAAATCTCAAGGTTTGGTTCAAATAATCCCTAATTCTGGCTCTCCTAAGACCTTAAATTCCTCAAGACCAATTCTAGTCGAAGCCAGAAACGGTTGGCTATCTTCTAGACCTTTTAAAATTCTTTTATGGAAGCTGTTTGATTTTTGGTGGGACTGAGTTTAGAGACGAAGCARTTCAAAATGGCGACCAACATGAAGATTGGAATGAGGGTTGAAACTGTCGGTAAAGGACAGAAAGGAACCGTGGCTTATGTAGGCTCGACGTCATTTGCTACTGGMAAGTGGATTGGTGTTATTCTTGATGAACCTAAAGGAAAGAATGATGGAACAGGTATGTCAAAATTACAAATGTAGTCAGTGTACAGTATTACTACGATTACATATAGGCTTAATTAAGTGTAAGTTTACTATAATTATTTGCCATCTCATGTCTGCACTTACATCTTGTAGTGAGTATYTTAGAATGCGTGTATTACACGCATGTACACAAATGGACAGACATACGTGATTGACTGACAAACAGAATCTATAAAATAAAAATAGAAAATATAAAAACCCTTGTCATTGCTTATCACTGCTGCAAGTACAGCAGCGGCGCAGCTCAACAGACTCACAGGCGGGCAGATGCAATTAATGGACAGACAGTCCAACTTCATGATGGACAACCAGAAATGATTCAGTCAATTCAAAAAACGTTGTCGTTGACCAGCTCAAGCCTACACGGCTGGACCAAAAGGAATATGGGTAAAAATCACTGAAGCGGTTAAATATTCGTTCTGAATTAATTGTTCCCACTAGTAATAAGATAATAATGGCGAGAAACAATCCATCAAATGCATGTCTTCGGGTTTAGGGAAAGAATAACGAAGTAGTTACGATTCAGTTCACAATCCCGTAAAATATATGAAGGCATTAAAAAAAGTCTCCTTCAGTATTTCCCACTCGCCTAGGAAGGTTCCTGCTGTAAACCAGGCATAACTAGTCAGATAAAATTATGAAATCAACTCGGCTTCAATGATTGCTACCCAGAGTTCCTTTTGGTCCAGTTGCGTAGGCTTGAGTTGGTCGACGACAACATTTTTTGAATTGACTGTATATAAGAACATGCACAACACCTCTCTCCCACACCTCTCTGGTATAGGAAACTAACACTATCTATTTTGACCTCTCTTGATGACAGTWCAAGGAAAAGAATACTTCAAGTGTCCAGAAAACTATGGGATATTTGTCCGCCAGTCTCAGATTATCGTCCTTGATGATAAAACTGGCTCTCCTTCTCCTCCCAAGGCAGTAAGGCCATTGTCTGCTGATTTTGGAGGGTTGAAGGATTCCAAGAATGCACTGAAAAAGGAAAGGGTAAGAGATCTAGTCTAATCTCAATCTATAATGAAGGTGTATATATTCGGGAGGGTTGTGGGGTGTCCTGTGACCTCACCATTTACTTGCTGCTTACTTGTAATGTGTATGCATATAATTTGGGGAGGGGAGGGGGAGARATATTACATTGTCCAAGTTACAGGGGCCACTGTAGTGGGGGGGGGGCTAAGGTTGGAAAATATATAAGACTCGTATGGGAAAGAGGGGGCCGGGCTAAGAAAAGACCAGTATGGAAAAAGGAAAAAAAGTGGATGGGAGCTGTAGCACTCCCCTGCCCCACCCATTCTGCTGTCCCTGAGTTAGTGTGTAGTGACTTCTGCCCCCACCCCACTTCCACTGGAAAACAAGCCTATRCAGTACCTTTATATGCAAACCCTAGCCTTGCCTACTAGCCTATGCAGACGTTTTTGGTTAGTCACATACATGTAATTAAGCTTCTCTTTTTGTTTGTTCAGAGTCAATATTTGTGTGATAATCCTGAGGAAATCTCTGTAGGGGGCTAGACAAACCCAGACCTGTAGAAATGTGTAATACAGTACTGTACTGTAAATTARTTACACATTTTATAATCTTTTTCATCAGTCGTTTGGCTCAAGAGGATCACTTGAAAATGTTTCTCCTGAATCAAAGAAGTCATCACCACCAGTATCCAAACTACAGAGTCCAAGAGTAAAGCCACCACCATCCTCCAGTATTCCAACGCCATCTGCAACACCATCTACTACCCCTGCACCAGATACACCCTCTTTACCTACTAACAAGCCAGCAAGCTCKGGACTTCCAGAGAGAAAGCCATCAAGCTCTTCAGGTTATAGGATAGACCTCTTTAACTCTAGTGTAACGTTTTCTCRTTTCAGAGCATGTGTCATTATCTTGAGAATGTATAGTTCCAGAAATTATCCATACACACCCCACAGAAGAATTTGGAATTTCCAAGGGGGGTGGGCTCAAACAAAAAACAAAAAAATACAGAGTTTCTATTGACGGAAATTGGAATTTCCAGGGATAGGGGGGTCTTTTAAGAAAATCTCTGTGGGAGGGTATGGATAATTTCTGAAACTAGACGAAAAAGTTTCTTTGTTATTGCACACATTATTTGTTGTATCCATATTCATTTTTCTTCTCATATGTGCAGTCATTAAACAAAGAAATGATACTCTAGGGAATGGCACATGGTCTGAAACAAAAAAGCTTAACCTATAAGCAAATTGCATTTAGTTTTCAATTCTTGATACTTTTATAATAATAAAATCATATGATGACCAAAAATAATCAAAAATTCCTAGTAGTTCAATGACAAGCTCATTATATTGTTTCAATGCAAAGTTTTGAATTGTTAAAGTTCCTTTCTTGTTCATCAGGACCATCTGTGTCTGCTGACGAGTTCATAGAACTTCAACGTAAAGTCATGGAGAAGGACAGAGTGATTATTGACCTGGAGGGGAAGCTAGACACATTAAAAGCAAAAAGACAAGAAGATAAATTGAAAATGAAAGAATTGGAGAAAAACAGAATGCAACTGGAACAGGTAAAAAATGGTGATGGGAAAATGAAAAATTAGTGCCTCTCCATAAAATCAAATGTCTTAAAGATACAGTGTGAAGTATGTTTCTTCAATCAATATTTTTTGAAAAAAAGTTCAGAGTTCCASGGGAATGAGTTCCAGTAGCTCAGTTGGTTMGAGYGTCTGACTAACAAAGAAAAGGTTGTGGGTTTTATATCCCAGCTGGAGCTCAGAATCTGTTTCCAAAAATAACGCTTGAAAAACATTTTTTATGTATTCAATAACTTATGTTAGCACACAAAAAAACAACACCTTAATATCAATGTACTGTATCTTTACGATAATTCCTATCACCTACCGTCAAGTCTTTATTACAGAATTAATCCTGATAGTAATCAACTGTTCCCTTCATGTTGTCAAAATTAAGCTGCCCAGAAATTATAACATATTACAAAGCTTCATTGCACTCTCCCTTCATTACAAATCTGCAGTAGGACAGCATATTACAAAACCTTTTCCTGCCCTCCCCTCTCTTCAGTACAAAATTAAGACAATGTATTACAAACCTTATTTCATCTCTTATTCCCTTCAATACAATTATACCCCCCCCCCCCCCCCCCCCCCCGCCATGAATAATATCTTATCTCTTTGTTATGATATGCAAAATATGTGTCTAAAATCCAGGTATTTCCCATACAAAATCAGAATATTAATTATTTCTCTATGCAAACCAAGTTTTAGAATTATTKAACTTCAATTAAAGGCAAGATTACCATAGAAATTTTTTGTGAAAATGATTTATTGATAGTTTAAATTTAGAATTTTTTTTTGTTGGAAAAACATTCAATCCTTTTAGAGATACTGTCTGTCTGCCAAGGTTCATACAGTATTGATATCAATATCTTTATATTGCTTATATCAAAAATATATTCATAGTAGTTAAGGATTAAGGTGTCAGAGTCATAACCAGTAGTATTTCATTCTTTATTACCCCTCTTGAGAACTCATYTTAAGAAAGTCAACATTCAAAAATCAAAATCAGAAACTTAAAAATGTGGAAGAAAATAATTGACTTTACACAATTAATGATAATGGGAAATACGGTTTATTCTAAAATGCAAAATAACAGTATGAACACTCTAACTTTTAAAATCTTTTTCATCTCAAGTAAAATGTGTCTTTTTGGGATGTTGCTATGGCAACACACTGAGGGTCTAGCAACATGTGAGAGCATCATTTTTGTTTTCAATATCATGATAATATCTTTTTGTTTGATTTAATGATATGCTAATTTTGTTAAATTTTTTTTTCAAATTATAGAATTTTGCAAAGCTTAGATTTAAGGATTTTCGGGTGAAGTCTGCTCTTCTTTCAAATAGGATTTATATTTTTGTTATTTTTAGAGATTATTTTATCTTCCCAGTTTGAAGTTGTTAAACATTACCTATTATTGAAGATTTGCTTTGAATTTCAAATTCAAAGTCAAGGGCTAATCTCAGCTGTTTCTGTGTAAACAATAAGATAAAACAAAATAGAAAAGAGAAAGATGGCAGGTAAAGTCTTTTTTYCCCCAAAAAAGTTATTTTATTCCTCTTATCTAAATCCAAAATTTACATCCTTTWTGAGAATTCAATGAAAATAGATTTAAGGAGTAATATTATAATTTTTCCCCATTTGATGCAGAGATTTATATCATATGTGGATTGTTAATTGCAGATGATAGAATACAAAAGCAAATGGCAGGAAGCCCAAAGAGACCTCCAAAATCAGCTTGCTGCTGCTAGAAAGGTAATGTTCTAACACCTATATGCATCTATCATTAATATACAGTCATATATCTGTATTTCTTTGCAGATCTCAGAGCTCTTATGTACGTGTATTTGTAAATTTTGAAATATAGGAGGAGATCGTCAACTAGCCAAAATTACTCTGAGTAGGGTTTTCATTAAGTTTTGAAATAACGGGATAAAAACATGGTACTAACTTAAGCCGAAGAATATTGCTTAGTTCCTAGAGCATTCTCTAGTATCAGACACTCCTTATGAAAACCCTGCATCTCTAGAGAGTGATTATAATAGAAGATCTTTGAATATGTTAAATATTGTATCTATCTTTACGAGTGTTAACAAGATAGGAAGAGCATTATCTTGAGGAAGCTTGTAGACAGYTAGAAAAACTAAACTAATACAAGCTATAAGACAGTTTTTTTAAAATGTAAGAAGTAACTAGATCACAGGTAATAGGGCTATTGTTTTTAGAAATTGGATAAAAATGGATAACTGAAAAGATTTCTGACCAATGGGGAAAAAAACCAAAACGATTGTGATTTAGCTGAGGCAAACATGTGCAAATGAAATACAAGTATTTCTATTTCAAGAAATTATKAAAATAACCAACCTTTGATAATAAAATAATCATATTATTTTGTTAAAATGTAGAACATGCTAATGAAAATAATTTGCATTTTGCATTTTGTAATCTATTTTTTAAAATCACATTTTGGTTTTACTATAACTTTTAAATCTTTCTGATCTCCATCTTTAATCTTTTCCCTGCTCAGGCCTGTTGTTTTAAAATATTTTTKCTGGAATTAAATTATTAGCCTGAGAATTAGCTGACATTCTAAAAATAAAGCAACATACAGTGCAATAAATTTAATTATTCACGTTATATATATTTTTTCTTTCTTTCATTTGGTTATKCTAGCTAACTTTTGCAGGATAACAAACGTTTTTATTTGTCTTGGTTGTATATTTATTATAGCATGTAATTAGGTATGTACTGGTAATCTCTATGTAAAAGTTATCTTATAATTCTAACCTCTTTCTAAAACCAAGCAATAGCTTATAATGAAARGGTATATTTTGTTGTGACTGAAATCTAAACTCAAGTGTTGCTTAAGATTATGATAATTATTTGCAATGTTTATCTGGGATTAGATATATATATATATTAACTTGAGGCGTCTCAACTTGTAACAGGAACTCAAGGAAGCTAACCAAAACAAAGACGATCATTCAGATGATCTTACAGAGCTACAGGAAGCTGTGGAAATGGCTACTTTAGACAAAGAAATGGCAGAAGAGAGAGTAAGTAGTCACATGTTAATATTAAGCCTCTAGAGAATATACCACTTGATCAAGTAAAAAAACTGTTAAGCACATTAAATTGTCAAGAGTGTGAATGCAGAAATATGCTTATAAACTTACCAAGGCATATACAATTGTAATATTGCATTCATTTGAACACCCAAATAATAGKGTACTATGTAGCATTGATCTTGCAAAAATATATTAAACCTTTTTCAACACCTTGGRCAATTATTCACATTTCTCTCATTGCAAGGTCAATGCCGTTCTCACTTTCTTGCACATGTCCATGGTTACCTTTTAAGATGGCACAGGGAACTGTGAAGATAACTCTTCATAATCTAATCCATGCTATTACTTAATAAATATCAATTTAAGCTCTCTTTGCAAAACATTTCTGACAAAAGAAATATTTTTTTTGTAGCTTGAAAGTCTACAACAAGAGAATGAACAGTTGAAAGACAGAGTAGAAGAGTTGACTCTTGACCTGGAGATCCTGAAGAATGAGATCAGCGAAGGAGGTAGGCTGTGTCCATCACATTTATCACAAGCTGTTTATTCAATAAATAATGAAATTTGTATATTTAGCAATAATTATTATTATTACTCCTCCAGCCTGAATGGGCTATGAGTCAATACCCCATGAGGCCTAATGGGATATTGACTCATAAGGGAGAGAAAATTAATTGTCTTAGTCAAATCCAACTAGTACATGTAGGTTAAATATATAGATTAATCTTTAATATATAAATTAATAATTAAATTTTTTAGTTTTCAGAGACAGCACTTTTCGCTACTAGTAGGCTATAACTTATAGCCTAGTCTGTAGCCTAGTATTAAGCTTATCCAATCAAAATGCAGCATTGATGATAGAGCGTTACTAGTTGTATTTGACTTATAAGCTTTACACTAAAATTCATAATTTTGTTGATGGGTTTGTACAGGAATGGAAGGAGCTGCTGCCAATGCTCAGGTCAAACAACTAGAGCAACAAAACAGCAGACTAAAAGAAGCCATTGTTAGGTAAGGAATCTTATCAAATGAGATGTTTTTCTTCCCCAGGTTTTCCTCGATCCTCTCAAAATCAACTCAAATTACATATAATTCAGAGTGGTTAGAGCTGTGTTGCAGGGTCATACATACTGTAAACTGTATAGAAAATGGCAGAGGTGCCTTTTTATGCTTTCAGTTTCATCCCCTTTGAGCTGCGCCACTGCTGTACTCGTGGTGGGGATTAGAAATAACGAACTGAAAAACAAGTTCGAATAGCTAACGGCAATAAAATACAATAACATTTTAAAACTTTTGTTTTACAAACACCACTCCCCGTACAGGGCTCTCCCATGAAGTTCCCTCCACATTTACTACTTCTAAATTCTACAGCATACAACACAACTCACATGTTGATTTTTTATGGAGGAAGGAAACCAGAGAACCTGGTGAAAACCCTCGTAGCAAGGGAGAGAACAACACATCAAAGTAACTCAACTTACATATTATCCTGTCTGAGTCGGGGCTCAAACAGGGACCACAGGGGTGAGAGGCAAGCTGTAAACCACTACACCACCCATGTCACCCACCTAATAAAAGCACATGACACATTAAAAGTTTGAATACACAATCTCCTAGGATGAAAGAAATTCAAGTGATAGAGAAGCAGCAGAATCAGTCGTTACAAAAACAAGTGAAAGATCTTCAAACAGCTAACACTACTCTGCAGGCAGAGAGGGACAAATACATGGAGGAACTTGAGGTACTCAGGACTCGATCTTAGCCCAGTTGTAGGAAGGGTGGATAGAGTTATCTGGGCCTGGTTGTACAAAGCCTGGATATCGCTATCCAGCAGATAAATCCTTATCCAGTGGATAAGCCAATGCTGTTATGCAATAAATTTATCCACTAGATAAAATTTAATCGTTGGATAGCGCTATCCAGGCTTTGTACAACCGTGCCCAGATGGATAAGTCCTTATCCAGTGGATAAATTTTTTTATTGGATAACAGCATCAATTTATTATCCACTGGTTAAGGTTTTATCCATTGGTTAGCACTATCCATCCTTTGTACAACTGGGCCCTGATGTTTTAAGCTGGAAAGAGGCTCTCCCAAAAAACAAAAGCTGGATGTGCCAAAATGTCAGGTTGTCGGGGTCAAGATTGCTATCTCGAAAAATAAATACAAACAAAAGGTATTGACAATTATATAATATTATTATTATTTATGTTTTCAGCAAGTGGAAAATTCTGTTGCTGAACTGAAAGAACAGGTGTGTTGAATATAAGGCATTAAGTGCAAATTATTACACTATCATGAACAACATATATAATTAAAGACTTAAATTACAATAGATGACAAATTTCTCCTAAATTTCAAAGTGACATTTCATGTGTAATTTGTAACTTCACATGTTAAATTTCACTGTTGCCTTAGGAAAGGTGGGTTTCTTCTCTTCCAAAACAAAATGGCTTCTAGCTAGTCAAGACTGATAGGGATCCAGGATTTTAAAAGTTAGGAGGGTAACCAGTCATTTTGCCCACGGACCATTTCGCCCACGCCAATTCGCCCATTCATAAAATCATCGATCATGCGTTTGCCAATTCGCCCACGTGTAGAATCACTTTAAGAAATATGTTACCATGACATAAAAAAAGTAGTTCATGATTTACCAACCGGTACCTACCAACCCTACTTGATGCTTCAAAATGYGAACTTTTTATACGAATACCGGTCGTTTCGCTACCACGCACTTTCGCTACCGTCGGTTGGCTACCACCCGGAGTCCTTTCGCTACCATCATGAAGTCCTTTCGCTACCATTGGAAATTACCAAAACAAAACTTCGATGAGACTTGTTAAAAAGAAACATAGCCTCTTGGTTGTTTGAATTTTATTTCCTGCATTTTAAGGATTTTAAGAACTGACGATCAGCTTTGCAAACGGGAACCCATGGAATCACCCTGGATTTACTACTGTTCATTGATCACTTGACCAATTCAAATTGGTTTGATTGATAATTCTTGTCATTATCATTACCTTAGGTTGATACTGCTCTTGGTGCAGAGGAAATGGTTGAAATCCTCACAGATAAAAATCTGGAGCTTGAAGAGGAATTAAGAACTCTCAATGAGACAGTTGCCGACCTGGTAAGGATTTTTGAAACATTTTTTTAATTCAAATATTTATGACAGCAGTGAGCACCAAAGTCTTACTCTTGTACTTTTTAGGAAGCATTGCGTGACTTGAATGAGGAGCTGGAAGAAACACATTTACAGGCAGAAAGAGATGCAAGGGAAGAGATAGACATGTTGAAGAACAAAGTGGTGGAAGTGAGGAGTCATCCCATCCCATCTTATCTCATTTTATCCTTCATTTTTCCTACCTACATCTGTCCATTTGTCCATCCCCACTAATACATCCTATGTCATCCTATCCATCTACTCCTCCATGCCATCCTATCAATCTATTTCATCCCATTCATTCACTATAGCACCAATCCATCCCTTCCTACATCCAGTTCTATTTCATCCCATCCATCCACTTACCCACTTTCATCCCTTCCTCCATGCCATCCTATCATTATCCCATCTTCGACTAACCCACCAACCAATCTTGCCAATCTATTTCATCCCATTCATTCACTATAGCACCAATCCATCCCTTCCTCCATCCAGTTCTATTTCATCCCATCCGTCCACTAACCCAAAAACCCATTCCTTTCTCTGTACCATCCCATTCATTTTCTCTTATCCATTCATGCATTTTGCTATTCATATTATATTTAATCATCTTTTTCAATACATTTGTTTTTGTAGGCTGACCGTAAATTTGAAATGGCCCAAGAATCTGTCCATGATTACCAACAAACGATTGAAAAGTTCAGAGACCTGGTAACGAAATTGCAGGTGAGTTTTAAAGACACTGAGATTCATAGCTCAAGAGGATTTATCTATGTAATATACACACATATTGTATCTTACAGGACAGTAACAAGGAACTCCAGAGCAAGCAGGAGGGAACTGAAATGCCACATATCAACATACCTCAACCAGAGTTCACAGACTTTAAGGTTAAGACAGCAGAGATCAAATCTCTTGCTAAGGTAAGCTTATTCACAATGACATTGGAGTACTCAAAAAGTGTTTGTGATGCCATTTATGGGGCATTGCCACCCAAACTTAATTGCATTCAAAATTTCCTTGATAGATGTAATAAACGGTGCCATATTAGAACAATCAGATAGAAAAATTTTAGAAAATGCTAGAGAACAATTCTTTGAATAACTTAGTGCCTATATTATCTTAGAAAAAGTGGCTGTGTTATGCCAGAAATTAATACTAGTAGATTTAAAAATAGTTTTTTTAATAGATTAATTTTTAGATATTTTTAGTGTATTGAGACGTTTATCTGTAGTTTTAGTATTTTAGAATTCATTTATGTATTTTTATTGCACATTTTTGATTTGTAATTAATCAATTGAATAAAGAGTTATTATTATTGTTATYATTAATATTATTATTATTGATAGTATACTGTAGACCCTTTGTATCAATTCCCAGAGTAGCTCAATTTGAAGGGCAAGACAATAGAATTTTACTCTTACTCATGGCAATTAATCCTCTTAACTCTTGATTTCAAGAGGAATTGGTACGGGCCTGTTGACCTCCAGTTTTACTGTGATTCTATTTTAGACTGTTGACAATGAGATGAGAAAGTTTCAAGTGGAACAGGCCAATGAACACATTAAAATGCTCAACAGTTTTCTACCTGATGCTTTTCTGAGCCGAGGAGGTAATAAACCTGTAGACTTTTGTTAAAGAACAAGAGAAATGACTTATTCAGTTGTGCGTACTGTAAGCAACTTAGTACATGTTGTATGGTACTAGTAACCTATTCCGTAAATTTCAGGGGATAATGACAGCATCCTGTTGCTTCTTCTTATTCCAAGAATGAGTTTTAAGACGGAGCTTCTCATCTCTCAACTAAGACAAAAGGTAAGGTAAACTGAATGCAAACTGTCTCTCAGTAGATCAGTTATACACTGTAGTATAAAGCTGTTGTACAAGGACCGCTCTACCATCTTTGAAATGAGGAGGGGGCATGGGGTATAGATTTTGAAATATAGCAGACTTGTTGAAGAGTGAATGTTTGATAAGCTGTCAAACATTTAGTGGATATTTATGAGCAAAATGTTGGGTGAGGTAAAACCCAGTCCCTCTTTCTACAGGGGTAACGAGGAGGTACATGTACATGTACTTCTTTACACGTTTTAGTGCTGGAACAAACTAGAACAACCCTCGGTGTAACTATACATGTTCAACCAATCAGGAATGAGAGTGAATTTTTCTTGATTATAGTTGGTATTTTTTAATCGTAGTATGACATCTCAGCGTGCTTGGAAGATTTGTCCTTGATATCTACTACCAATGGTGATGGTCTTAGCTTTGCCTGTGGTCTTACTTACCTTCTTGCCAGATTACAAGCCGTTGTGAAACATTTTGAGAGGTAAGATGGTATAATGTTTGGAACTTATAATGGTCAACGTAAAGGTGAGGCAAGATAAAGCATGAAAGTGAGGCTGGGTGACTTTGGAACAATAAAGATGATAGCGAGGCTGTATGTCAAAACAACAATGAAGTATGTCATTGACTGGAGGCAATTGAAACAATAAAAATGAAAGTGAGGTTGGATGTCAAATCAACAATGAAGCATGACAATGAGGCTGAGTATCTTTTTGTGTTACTGCATCTGACAAAGAAACTACGCAAAAAGGTTCATAATTTATCTTTTCATTTTTCAGGGCTCTACATAAATGTGACACAAGCTTGTTTAATAAACTAGTTGGTATTTACCCTGAATTAGCARTACATGAGAAAGCACTGGACACCCTGATTGATCTTCTCTGCAAGAACCATGTTAGTTGAACACAAACTGCTTTGCCAGATCTTTGGAGTTTTTTTTGACTATTTTTGTCATGAACAACAAAAATATATTGCCCAATACATCTTTGTTTCTTGTGGAGTTTTGTTGGTTAGTTGGCAGGACTTGGCTGAAGTTCCATTATTTCATTTAGGGCAATCTAGGGGGAAGGGGTTAACCCGAATGCCTAAACCATGATCAACGACATCATCTCCCTCAAAGACAACTACAAACACTGCAATTAGATCATCTTGATTGAACCAAACCAGGCAAAGGACAAGTTCGATCCACCTAATTAAAAGCTAGGTGTTTTTTTTTTGGTTCACCAAACTACAGTCCTCTTATGGTTCGGTTTGTCAGATCAAGCCCCCCTGGGTGAAAATTCTGGATCCTCYCCTGTATCTTTTTTTGAAGCATATCATGAGTAATTTAGAATTGAAGTATATTATGGTATGTAGGTTTCATTATTATAGATGTTTTGTATCCACCAAGTAATACCTTTTTCTTAACTAAGCTTTCGGAGATAATTCTCCATCATCAGGGTATTGAAAAATAATTTACTTCGCGCTCTATAATTATTATTTTTCAATACCCAGATGATGGTGAATTATCTCCGAAAGCTTGGTTAAAAAAAAAGTATTACGTGGTTGATACAAAACATCTATAATAATTTAGAATTGTTTTTTCATAAATTTCTGCAGCTTGATGAAAATATTGGGATGGAGCCACTGGAGAAAGCCATTCACTACTACACCGTAAGTACACCACGAAATATTATTGCCCACACAGGTAGTTTTGGTCTATGGTAGTACCTTTGCATGCGCGAAGTAACGGGATTATTGTTCTGTATTTGTTTTAGACAATGGTTGGGTTTCACTTGGCTAATAATCCAGTATCATGTACAGAGTACCTCAATGATCAGCTGAAAATCTTTAACATAGCCTGTGATGGGATGACCATTGATATTGAAAGACTCAAAAGTTTATCAAAGGTAAAAAAGATTATCTTCGTGTTCCTCCAACCATTCTTACAACTAATCTGCCCATTTTCCTTCCAACCATTCTTCCATCAATCCATACATCTTTCCATCTATCTATCCATTCATTCATCGTCCATCCGTCCGTCCGTGCATCCGTCCGTCCGTGCATCCGTCCGTCCGTGCATCCGTCCGTCCGTCCGTCCATTCATCTTTCCATCCATCTTTTAATCCAACTATCAATCCATCGATTCATCCTTTTCATTCATTCATCCATCTAATCATTCTTTCAACTGCTGAGTATTTTATTGTCTACTTTCCCCCAAAATAAGCTGTTTTATTAATGCATTTTTCCCTTTCTCACCAGACTTGTTCCGAAGGCAGTGAGTTTGGTGCACTGGTACAAGATATGGAGCTGAGGAAYGTGGAAGTGAGGCAGCTCTGTAAAAAGGTATTTGCACAAGTTATTCTTCATATTCATGACATTACCAATCGTAAAATCTACTTTAAAATACGATGAATGCATTACTGGTAGTAAATAGAGATGCTACTCAATCTGTGCTCTTTTTAGATATTTTAAATGTTTCTTCCCCCCTGTCTTTTTAGATAAAGAGACGAATGCCACAGGACGACAAGAGTATTCTATCCTTCCCTGAAAAGGTGTGAACACAGGGGTTCCATTATTTACACCCAACCCCAGATGCATTATCAAAGGGCCCCAATCCTTTTCTCTTGGTGAAAAGGTGTGAACACAGGGGTTCCATTATTTACACCCAACCCCAGATGCATTATCAAAGGGCCCCAATCCTTTTCTCATGGTATCTTTCAGTTCTTATGCTAGAAGTCCCCTGTTTGGTGTTTGGTTTAAGTTTAATTTGCATGGACGAGGATTAGTAGCTAGTCTAATATTCCCAGGGGGTGGGGGTGTGGGGAGTTGTCTTTTGGAGACACAAAAACGCCATGTATATCCTTATTAAGTTTAATTTGCATGGATGAGGATTAGTTGCTAGTCTAATATCCCCAGGGGGTGGGGGTGTAGGGAGTTGTCTTTCTGGAAAAAACAAAAACGCCATGTGTATCCTTATTTTTAACATAAGCATTTCAAACTTATTCCTAGATTCAGCAAGATTTGGTGGAGTCGATCAAACAACAGCAGCTGCTGGTCAGGTTCGCACAGGACCTGGTGGCTCTTCTGTCCCA